ATGGGAATTCTCCTAAATTTTTTGATTTTTTCGAGAATGTTCTCAACAGTGAATAAAGAATCTTGGAAATCAACCTACAATAACTGAATTAATTGGAAATGCAGTCTTACACATTTCAAAATTTTCCAGAAAAACTATAATAGAGAAAAAATTTGAAATTTTTTGCATGTGAAGAGGAAGGTAAGAGGCATAGACATATAATCTTTTATTATATGTCTATGGTAAGAGGTTCATTTTCCCAAACTTTCAAATTTTTCCCGTGGAAAACAACAACATGAAGAATCTTGGAAATCAACCTACAATAAGTAACTGAATTATTTGAAAATACAACCTCACATATTTCAAAGTTTTCTTGGAAAACTAATGAAGGCAAAAATTTGAAACTTTTTTGCATGTGAAGGTTAGAGGTTCATTTCTCTAAAATTTCATATTTTCACAGTGGAAAATAAGAACACGAAGAATCTTGGAATTCAACTTACAATAACTGAATCAATTATTGCAAATACAACCTCACACGTCTTAAAGTTTTCCTGAGAAACTAGTAAAGGGAAAAAATTGAAACTTTCTGCATGTGAACAAGAAGGTTAGAGGTGCATTTTTTCAGAATTTCAAAATTTTCTAGTTGAAAATAACAACAATAACACGTTTTTAAATTCAAGAACTGAGAATAGACAAAAGTTGATCTGGCGAAATTGAGAAATAGCGAGAAGAAATTTAAAACCAGAAATTTCTTAAGAAATCCTGATTCCATTCATTTCTTAGCTCTAAAACTCTTCGGTATCGGGCTCACTAGTTCATATTACTTTCTTTTCAGATATGCTAATTCTTTATAAATGAATTAAATGATAACCTGAGTAGAAATTATCATACGTTAGTAACTCTTATTTATAACGAGTGGATTGAGTGATAATGAATGAGCTTCAATCAATCTACTCGTTATTACAGAGATTTACTCGTTACTAAATTCAAGAGCCGGGAATAGACAAAAATTGATTTGAATTTATAACTTTCCACTACCTAACTTCTTGTTATCAGGGACTTTTACTTCTTTCCAAGATTAATAACATTGTAAATAAATCACGAGTAAAAAATGTTAGTTTTAGTAACCCTACCTGCCTGATAACGAGTAGACTGATGTTGTTTTGTAGCTTTAGAATTCTCGAATGAGTGATTTACTCGTTAATCCAGAAAGGTTCGTTCGTTTCTACGATAGATTCTTGTGAATCTGCAATGCAATTTGTGGGTTCCAGATGGAAGAAGGATATTGGTGAAGGAAATATTATACTGATAGCAAGAATGAATTCATTATATATTCTGTACCTAGTGTGAACTTTTGAGAATCTCGGTAGTATGAACGATGTATTTGACCACGAATTTAACTGTTTTCTGCCTACTTGTTGTTTTCGTCCTATTCTGGAGTTCCCCGAATGTTTCAAGACAAGAAATGCACAGATATAATAAGTTACTGCATTCAGTTTAATGTGAAATACACATGAGAATTTTACATCAAAAAGTTATATAACACAGTGTTGTAGAATATTTTGCTGGAATAGCATGTTTCATGTTATCCCTCAGAAGAAAGGATATTGTAAAACACGACCCCACTTGTCTACACTTTAAAATATGTTATTTTCTTACACTGAGAATCGACACAGCGTTTGGCGTTTTGTTTTTTGTTATGTGTTCTGGTTGCTTCAACAAATTTGTTGTATCACTTTGTTATCAACATGTTTTGTCACGTAGTCTCGACCCGGCTTAAGAAATTTTTCAGACATAATAGACTATCCTAGGTTCAGCTAGAACCATTCAGACAAATATTGCACCTCGCTTTATCAATAAACTGTATTAATTTTTCTTGAATTTAGGGTTTAGGGAACATTGCTGACAATATTTTGCATGTTTAGGTAGACCTTTGATGGTATGAACGTCTTGATGATATGAACACGTCCAGTTTTTTTGTGTTCACACTAGTACGATTCTACTGTAAGTGGATTATTGCGAAACTGATTTTTTCTTATATTGACACCCCACCTACAGCCCTCAGTTTTTGACTTTATATAATAAGTTTTTATTTAAGTATCAATAAGTGGATTATTGCGGAACTTATGGGTGGACCTCTGCGGGACGAGCGCAGCGAGTTCCGCAGCCATCTAATTATCAATATACTGTTGAAACGTTCAAGTAAGACATTCACCTGAAACATGTAGTTTTCAAACTATTGAGAATAACTCACATTTGAGTAAAACAGGTTATTATTGTAATTAAACAATACTGATGAATAGATGACTGCGGAACTCGCTGCACTCGTCCCGCAGAGGTCCACCCATAAGTTCTGCAACAATTCACTCATTTGTACTTGAATGACTTGTCACATTATGTCACTAGTTTGGTACAGTAACATTACTAATTCCTGTTGAAAAGCGAATTAAAAAAAAGTGAATAATTATAATCTTACAAATTCTGACTTTATATAATCAGTTATTGTTCAAGTACAAATAAGTGAATTATTGCGGAACTTATGGGTGGACCTTCGCAGCCATCTATTCACCAATATAATGGTGAACTGTTCAGGTAAGACATTCACCTGAAACCTGTAGTTTTTGAACTAAGCTGTCTCCAATATATTTAGTTCTAAAAATTTTAAACATACTTTCAGCGAAACCAAGTACCTCTAATTTTATCTGCAGCTTTCACCTATACGAGTAGAATGCTTCACAAAATCAGTAGTTGGATAGTATTTTTACAATTTTTGGAGCCAAATATATAATAGACTGTTCAATCAAATATAGACAAACTATATATTTTTGGAATCGGGACATTGTGCTCTTCAAGAATATTGAACCAAATATAGGGCATTCCATTTGAAAAAAGCTGGAAGCATGCAAAATTTCACATTTCTGACATTCAAATTTTGTTTCTGGATTTTAAAAATTCAATCAAAACCATACAACTTTTTTATTTACATCTGGAGAGGTAAAGGCTGTAGATAGGGTTTCAATACATAAAAAAAACGTCCTGTATTTATAAAACTCATCAAAATATAATAAAGACCCATTTACCCCACTTCTGCTTATCTTGAATAGGCTTCAAACACTTAAATAAAAGACATTCAATGCAACATTATTAAATTTGGCTACCGCCAACGCATTATCAGTTAAGTATTGCATTACGGTCAATTCCGCGATTTTGAATGAAGTTTTTCCAAGATTAAAGCTTTTGACGTCATAATCTAGTCTATGATGTTTCAAAACAATCGCTTTGAAGATTAATTGTCTGGGAAACATTTATTTTTGGGATTTTACAGGAATATACATATAAATAATAATGAGTCTATACTTTAATAATTTTCAAACTCATATAGCTTCAAATTGTAAAATTTACAGGAAGTTGAATTATGCTTTTCTTAATAATGTACTGTAACTATGCAGGAGACAATTTAGAAGGAAATACAAGGGGTAAACCACCATTCCAGAATTGGTGCAAACAATTCCTCAAAGGGGAATTTTTTACGCATAATTCCTCAAAATTACTGCAAATTCCTTTAGATACCCTATCACAAATTCCTCCAAATAGCCCACCACGAACTTCTCCAAGTACCCCACCAATTCCTTTGAAAAAAGAAAAAAATTTGAAACTTTTTGCATGTAAAGAGGAAGGTGAGAAGCTCATTTTCCCAAAATTTCAAATTTTTTCAGTAGAAAATATTAACATGAAAAATCTTGAAAATCAGCCTACAAAAACCGTATTCCTTATTCTTTTGAATTTTTTAAATTTGGACCTGTAAATCATGTAGTGTAATTTTGGGAGACTTTCTTTAATTAAAATGAATATCCAACTGCCAACATAAAGCTAGATTGTTTTTAAAAATTTCCATTTATTACTATTTCTTATAATAAGAATGTGAACCTCGATGTGAACCTTAGTGATGTCATGACCCTACAATTTCCTTCAAATTCCTCACAAATTCCTTTAAATTACCTATATATTCCCCAAATTCTCATAAATTCCCCATAAATTCCTTCAATGAGTTGCTTCAAATTCTACACAAATTTCTCTAAATTTCCCACAAATTCCTTTAAATTCTCCACATTTTTGGCAAAGAATTCCTAGGTGGTTTGCCCCTTGAGGAAATATATAGGGTGTTCCTTTGTACTGCTTTTCTTGCTCCAAACAGATCTCAAGAGTAGATCAACATTAACTTGTTCCTATTAAAAGCTCTAATAAGTAGCTCCTAGCAGATCTTTCTGGTTTTTGGAGCAGGTAGAGCAAGTACAAGTGAACATCCTTTTAGTAAAATACTCTCATTGAATAATGATGTAAAGTCCACTCAATTCGATTGACCTAGTTCAATTTAAGTGAACCACACTGTGTTCGATTGAGGTTGTATCAGTGCACCCTCATCAACAAAAAAATTATCTAGATCAGAAAAATTGAACCCAAATCGATCTAATCTGGGTCAATCGAATTCGGCTCAGGAGTAAAAGTAAGAAAAAATAAAACAATTTTTCTGAATTTTTGATATTTAATTGGTTGAATCAAGAGCCAATGTTTCCACACTAGTTCAGTGTCATCTTCAGGGTTTTAGAGTTGAGGAGTAGTTTTAGAAACATAACCTCTACAGAGACCAATCTTACTATGTGTCATTTTCCTCACTGAGCATTCTGAGACTTTCAATGATTGCTGATTTCTAAAAAGACTGCTGACAACATATCAGTTCTGTTTGAACCGTTCTAGAACGGTTCTCATGTTGCTTGGAACAGAGATTATTGTAAAAAATGGTGTCATTTGATGCTCTTTTTACTACAATACACAATTACAAGAAGTAATATGAAGATTGTAAAATAAAGGAGATGGGATGCTGAGAATGTAAGGTTTTCTTTGTTTTACTCCAATTTACAAGCCAAGAACAATCAAGTTATTGTATTCTAAGAATAAGTTATGACTTAATTTATGTGTGGTTATAAAACAAAAACAAGTTACCAGTGTAATAAGCGACTGACCCCAAAAATAAAACCACCACTAGTTGAATTCCAAGGTAGGTATCGACGTTCCTTCTCTTTGTTATTATTCCACTTCGAAGCTGAAAAATACTCTCCTAAAAGCTATTTTAACCAGCTGCAACGCGAGGATCCTGCTGTTCATTTTCTATTCGAAGGCCGGGTGGGTTTTTTTTTTCCTCCCGCACTGGTGTTCTGTGGCTCCAGAAATAGACACGGACACGGAAAAAATAAGAGAGTGAAGTTCTTTAGACTTACTTAACATAACCTCACACTCACCATCATCATCATCATCATCAAAAGTACTTTTATTTTTCTCAACGTTTGGCAACAGCTGACAATGGTCGCGAGCTCATTCCTTGCAACGATGCCAATAAGATTTTTTCAACGGTAAGAACATGAACAGTTAAATTAAATTCAAAATGAAAATTTGAACTGCGAAGTAAAGGAAAACCTCTACAATATACAGGCTCAGAATCTTACTATACAGAGCATATAACTTACCTACACTGAAAGACTATTAAAAAGGTATAGGTAAGGTAACAAAGGTATAAAGTACGAGGATTTTTTGAAAGTTTCCATATTACATTCTCCCCTAATCAGATAGGAAGCTTCATTAGACTTTTTAGTCGGTTCGAGGTATAGTCAGCTATATTTTCTACAACTTCATTGGCTAGATTCCTTGATAATGTTACCGGTGTCTCATCAAGACGAGGGGTTTTTCACCTTGTTATTCATGGTGTACAAATTAATAATCACTAGTTTGTATGTCAAAAGCAGGTTAATACTATTTCAATAGTGTCAATTAGGCAATTCAATCCATCTGTCAAAAAGGAAAATTCAATGTGGCGTGGCGGCGTATTTTAAATTATTTTGCATACAGTTTTGCTTACAACTTTGATTTTCATTATTTAATAAAATATTTGTTGACTAGGTACCTTAACTATTAATTCGGGCAGTAACTAGATATTTTTTTGTGTTTTTTGGCCCATGTGTGGCCGCCACGCCATCTTGAATGTCACGTGGTTTGAATTGCCTAATTCTATGCAATACCTTAGAGCAGGTAAAGCGCTGTCCTACGGATATAAGTACAGTGACTCTATAACCCACAGTGGCGACAATTGCTGTCTCATTTTTGATTGGTTCTAAAATCCCATATATTTATATTGAAAACATCGCCATCTTGTTCCCAACCCCTTATTACTTTTAAATATGAATATATGGGATTTAGGTGAACATTGAACATTCATCATAAATCATGGAAAACAACGTATTTGATGGACCTAATAATGGTCATCAAATACGTCGATTTCAATTTTTTATGATAGATGTCCATTTAAATCCTATATAATTAATATTTAAAAGTAAAGAGGTTGGGAACAAGATGGCGGCGAAACCTCTATTGTCGCCACTGTATGTAAAGGTTTATTTAGCCATTGTAGATATAAGTACAGTGGCTAAATAAACCTTTACATACAGTGGCGACAATAGAGGTCCCGCCGCCATTTTGTTCCCAACTTCTTGTTACTTTCAAATATTAATATATAGGATTTAAATGGACATCTATCATGAAATATTGAAATCGACGTATTTGATGACTATTATTAGGTCCATCAAATACGTTGCTTTCCATGTATTATGAGGGATGTTCACCTAAATCCCATATATTCAGATTTGAAATAAGCAATGGGTGGGAACAAGATGGCGGCGTTTGCAATATAAATATATGGGATTTTAGAACCAATCAAAAATAAGACAGCAATTGTCGCCACTGTGGGTAATAGAGTCACTGTAGATATAAGGAGTAGGAACGCGCCATTCGGCTTATGAAACTAAAGTGAAGCCAAGTTTTTGGCAGGTATTTGGCACCAAAATACAGGAAAAGCATTGAATTGCCTATACCCATTTTTTTGGTGCCAAAATTAGGGTTTCCATATGTCCGGATTTACCCGGACATGTTTGGGTTTTTAGGGTGTCCGGGGAAGTCCGGCCGGAATTCGGAACAATGTCCGGAAAACTCGGAGATCGTGAAAACACTCATACTCAGCAGTGGCGTATCCAGGGGGGGGGGGCAAAGAGGGCAATTGCCCCCTCCCCCAGAGCAGCAACCTTTTATTTCTTAAAAATATCTCAAATAACAAAAAATAATATTTTCTACTGGCGTGCGCAAAGTAATTACTTTGCACATTCATTTGCGTGCGCAAAGTTGCGTTTCTGGATAAACTAATATTCAAAAAGAAGGGCTTGATGTTATTTTTGTTCCAAGAAAGGTTTTCAGGTAATGTTTAGCATTTTTAATTTGAAATTTTTCGTATGAGGAGCGAGGGGAGGAAAAATCCAGCAAAAACAGTTAGGTGTGAGATGTGAGGTCAAGTGACCATTGGCGTGGGCAGCCACCCACTCATATTCCTCCTGACTTATTTGTTTTTTAAATTGTTGTTTTTCAAATTAAGAAATGTTAGGATTAAATTTTATAGATACATTTTTGGAATTTTCATATGTATAATAAATAGGTAGTGATTTTTTTACACTATTTCACTATTTTTCATTGCATTTTTGACGTGTGTAAGTTCTGAGTATAATAACATTTGTTGAAATTTCATTTCAACCCGCTGCCGCCGCCGCTGTATTTGAAGTTAAATTTCTTTATATTTTTATTCCTACTATAATCTTCTGTTTCTACGTTTCTACCCGATTTTCAAGGGAACGTGCGTATGCCCAAACGCATCGCAAAAGTAGGTCAAGACTGGAGGTGGAGAGTACCTACGAAGTCGAAGTTTTTGTTTGCCTTGAGTTCTCACTTCTAGTCAGAGATCGTAACGCATTGCAAGGGTTGTTTTGTACCGCTTTTTTCTTTTCTCCAAATGGCCCGATCGTGCGCCTGAAATCAACCTTTTCTTTCTCTTCAGTTTTCTATTGTTTAATTGCTGTTAATTAACCAATTATTTGCGTTAAAGTGAACGTTCCATATACTTATTTAAATATGCAATTGTTAGGAGTTGAGCCACAAGAACTGTGACTTTTATCCCAAATATACCTACACTAGAATTAAAACTATATCTTTTGATTTAATAAAAAAGGTTTCGTTTATTTGTGAAAATTTATAAGTTTTGGGAAGGACACTTTGTCAGTTATGAGAGGTAACTTTAGATGTTGTCAGAGTCAAGATGGAATTCTGAATGTCTTCTCGTCTTCTTTCCTGAAAGAAGGAAACGTCCTAGAACCTCCTTCGAAAGGGCGGGAGTTCCTCTAGTTATTCACTGAAAGTACCTTAACGCTATTTTACAGATGTTACTTATATTGGTGCTAAAATATTTAATGATTTGGGATTTTTTTGGGAAGTTTATACAATAATAAAAACTAAACCCTATTCGGGCACGTAAATAGTTATTGGACATCATTCCGACAATTTAACAGTTTATGAAAATAGAGGGATATAAAACAAGGGTCCGAAAGGTAAAGCCATATTGAGCCGACAAGGCATGGTCAGGCCTCTCTGCAAAATACATAGTAAATATAATAGAAAATTAGAGATATAATTAAATGTTCCTATAATCACTGTGTTATCTTATTGGTTCATAACACCTCCCCTCTTAATGAGAGATTTTATGTAATTTAAATGAAAAATCAAATGAAGTAAAATCTCTGATCAAGCTTGTATAAAATTTAAGTAGATAATTATAGTAAGTTATTTCTAAAGTAATATGATACAATTAAAAAATGGACTAATAGCTATATAACCTATAACTATATTTATGCTAAAAACAGTAAATGACATCAGGAAGAAAATGTTTATGAAAACTAAGTTTATTTGACTGCTCGTCTTGTTGGTGCATAGCCAATACTTTTCCGTTGAGGAAATTCTAATGAAACATTTTCCTCGTCCGAATCATCATCACCAGTTGTACTTCTTACTGCTCTATTTCTGTTTATATATCGAGCTGCATATTCATTATTTGGATAGGATGGCTGTACATTTTGATTGACTCTAATACACAAATTGGGAATGCCACAACAAGAATTTTTATTTTTTTGACAAATGCATTTCTTATAGAATTTATAACCTAAATAAAATAGTACAATGATTGCTAAAATATACGCCAGTATAGAAGCAGAAAATGTGTAGCGAGATGTAGCTTTGTTTTTGTGAATATCATCTGCTAATTTTTCTATATCGTCCAACTTATGACTAGCAATGTTAAGTTCGGGTATGTGTTTACTCAACGTTTTATAATGTTGGTTCAACACAATTTCCGAAAAATTTATCTGATGTTCTTTCACTTTTTCACAACACTCATCAATAATATCAAATGGCGGAACAATTTCACTGTACACTTCTGATTGATAGATATTGTCATGAGGCATTAATATTGTTGAAGAACTATAAGCCTTGCATTGTTTCGCAAGTGTGACGCTACCACAATTTTTTAAAGTAACATCCATTGGCTTATCATTATTGGTACAAGATATGGTTAAAGTTTCTGTATTAGGTACTGCAAATATCCAAGTGTTACTGGTTGACAATTGAATAAAAATGCCTCTCTTAGAAGTAACTATGCGTTTGTCGCAATTTTCGGGAATTTTATCAGAAGTAGCTTGCAATAGTCTAATCTCGCAATTGTCTACGAGATGTGCAAGAGATACTGGCTTATGTTGCTTACAAATAATTTTATTTCCTAGCAACTTAATGCAAGATATGTATTCCATATCTGAAAATTGTACAAATTGTTGTTTACTTTCGTCTATTGCAATATATTTTGAGGAAGGTTGAATTAAAATGAATTCATTCAATACTACTAGTTTGGGAAACGGTGATATTTTGTATAAATAAAATAATTGCGTCTCTACAAGAGGTGTGTTTATGATATATATAAGACGTTTATTTTCAAAGAAAACTTGTAACTCAATTATATTTAGCAAAATGTTTGCATTGGATGTGTCTAAAGGTATCGGGAATTCCAACCCATGGGGAAGAGATTCTAAAACTTGTCTTAATTCTTTTGTTAATTGGACAGGCGTCATGATAGCCGGATGCAATATTCCCTTTTTAGCAATAAGGATTGCGTTGGTGAGTGACATGATTTCTAGCTGTAACTGATTTAAAATCATATTCGTTATTGTAACATGGTCTTCTAAATTTGTTTTTAAGTTTAGAAACTTTACGTCTTTTTGGTTTTTATCCAATTCCTTCGCGATTTTTTCTATATTGCCTTTCAAGACGTTCTCATTGAAATCCAATGTGCCTATTGTATTGTTAAAGTTTATCAAGGTGGATTGCACTATTTTTGTTTGTTCTTTCAAAAGATTAATTACTGAGTTTTCATCTTTTGAGAATTCCGAAATTTTAGCGTCATAATATTTTGCATCGTCGTTATCTAAGATCCCGAATAAAACTTTTGTTGCTTTTCCTATTATGTCAAACCAACCTCTCTTATTTCTGGATCCTATATCATGACCCACTAATTCGTGCAGAACTTGTAATTCTCTATTAATTTTGTTGAGATTATATTTAGTGAATTTCACAAAAGAATCACATATATAATAGTGATATTGCGCATTTTCGTGTCTGCATAAATTTAAGGTCATCGTATAATAGTTATTTAAACTTAGAAATTTATCGCTTAGACTATCTATATTTACGAAAGTTATAATTTTCCATTTGTTGTTGTAAAGCCGCATTTCTCCCAATTTTTCGAAATGAATGCCCGGA